CGCGGCCGCGGGCACGCGATTGGGACATGAGTGGAGGGTAGGCAACACAATGAGCGAGGGGAGGAAGATGGTCATTCATGCCGAGTTGTTGAGAGAAAAAAATTGGGAAAGTAAAAACAATAATAAATAAATCATAAACACACACAAAACAGAGAAAATGATGAGGGGCCGCGCATACTTGACTGACCTTGTCTTACCTCCGCGATTATTCTTTCTTTCCACCTTCCAAAATTTACGGAAATAAAAAGCTTCGCTCGCCGATTGCTAATAGACACATAACGACAATACAACCCCCTACCACCCCACCAACCCCGCACACACAAATCAGGAAAACACCCCCCCCCCCCCTTCGCGCGGGAACATCATCTTGCGGCGGCCGATCGTGCGGATGGCTGCGTCCGAAACCGAACCGCGTAGCGGATGAGCTGATCTGTGATGACCGCTGAGCGCGCGGGCGGGGTGGGGGGTGAAGTGGGGTAGGAGGTGGGGGTGATTAAGGGACCGCGCGGGGGGGTGGGAGGGGAGGAGAGGGGAGAGGAGGGGAGGAGGGAGGGAGGGGAGGACAGGGGTAACAGAGCACGAAGAGGGGCAGCTTGAACTAATTAATACGGAAGCGCGTCTGATTGCCATATTTTTATGACGCGCCTATTTGAGGCGAGTGGAGCGCTATTGGCCGAGGCACGCGAGATGGGGGCGGCAGAGGGAGATCGCGCCCAAACGGTGAGTGCACGAACATTAATATAATCTGATTCTATGGCAGAATAATTTGTTTTCGATTTTACTTTACCGATATTCGTCGTCGGGTCTATAGCAGCATCAGCATCAGAGATCGAATGCACAGAAATTACCCTTAATTTCATCTGGGGGAGGGGATTTGACAATTTTATTGATATTTTCGTTTGGTAAAGGCAAAGCCCGGATAGGTTTTGTTCCTTGCCCGCGGATAACTTCTTAAAACATCCGCCCAAAATTGTTTTCCTTTTTCTTTGTGTTTTTCTAATGTAAAAGTGCAGTGTGAGGTGAGGGAGGTTGTTGGTATAAGGGATCGTACCCATACTACGTGACCGCTTTTAGGGGGGGGAGGGGTTTGGCAAAATACTACCATTGGTCACGGGGGGGTAGGGAGGGGGGGTTCGGCCGAAGTCACGTAGTATTTTCAAACGAGATTTTACTGTAAATTTCGCGCGTTTCTTTAACTGAGTCATTTAATTCATCACTCAAAGCTTTTCACCGAGTCTGGTTTTGCGACACTTTACCACAAAACCATGCGATAACTGGTGTTTTGCGATTCCCACGCTACAGGGCCTGATAGACCCAAAAAATGTGATAAAAGTATCACATTACATAGTGATAAAATCATCACAAAAATTAAACGATAACTTTTTATTACAGTTTTTGTGATAATTTCAGCACAATAATGTGATACTTTTATCACATTTTTGGGGGTTATCATACCCTTTAGCGTGGGAATAGCAAAACACCAGTTATCGCAAAAAATCAGTAAAAGTATCACAAAACGGGTTTCAGTGTTATTTTTCGTTTGAAATAATGAAGAGAGTGCTCATACTTAGAATGCAATATTATTCTTTTCCACCGTGTACGGTTGGCCGATGCTAAAATGACTGACTACACCAAATTTGTTGAAATGAGGTAAAAACAGCAGTTTTTGGAATACTACGTGATTTTCGGGGGAGGGGGGGG